AACATTTGTATGGTTCTTATTGCCAAACTTTTAAATCAGAACTGCATTTTATAAACTTGAAATAAAAATGCAGTACAGTTTTATGTGAGACAGATTTCAAGACTAAAATTAAGCTTAATCTAAAATCAGTATCCAGAAGCTACTTATGTGACCAAATTCACATAGATAGTCTAGGTACTTTACAAGACTGACCAATATATTCAGTATCTCCTTCCTTACACACTACATCACCAACAACTGCTCTCTTCAGCGATTCTCTTGCCTCTACTTCCTCCAAAATGCTACTCTCATTGGCTCCATCTTCCTGTCCATCCAGCTGCCCAATGGCTACCTGATGCTCGCTTGTCGTAGAGCTCACGCCGTTTTCATTATCAGAAAAATGATGATTATAGTCCTCAGTTTCCATGTCCCTCTCCTCATACATTTCCTCAAGGTAGTCACCATTAGTTTCTGAAACATGGAAAACATACAATAAGTGTAAAAAGACTAAACAGACTCTTCCAGGTTTCTTTCAAGATCTGTAATTAAACCTCAGCCAAATGCCTCAGATTTACGGCCTTTAGTCAGTGCTTTAACTCTTTGTGATACAGAAAGCATATATCACATATCACATCAGAAGTATATATTCTTACCACATTCTAAAAAGTAAGACTTGTTTTACTTTTCTCAAACCTCAAAGATGTCAATATAATTTTATAGGTTTCATCTGGTAACATCTATTCTCTAAGCAGGCACAATGTGTTATATCCCTTCATCATATAATTTTTAAAAAAATCTTATCTAAATCAATTCATATTATCTCTTGACAACATACATCAATGATGGTTAGATGAGTCTATAGATAAAACTACATAACAATAACGGGTCAAAAATTCAAAGAGCTTGATCAGATACATAAAAACATCCAGTGCCTGACATATTAATAAGTTTTACAGGAGCAGCAAGGCATTTTCCTAATCTTATAAATGAACATGCTCTTCCAAGATTAGTCCCAACTATTCTGGATAGTTATCCAAATAATGCCTCAGTGCTGCATGGAATAGTAATTTATCTATTCTTACAATTTCCGTAAGATTCTATTTACATTTGATTATCATGGATCATCTATATCTGACAAAGAACTTCAACAGTTTTCTAATAATGTTACTAGCTCAGCAAGAAAAGTCTCCCCTTGGTCAATTCATCCAAAATATGGTGCACCTTTTTTGCACAATTTTACTGAATATCCTTCAAGAATAGGTTTATAACCTGGCTATTGAGTCTGCTGTCAATTACCCTCATCAGAATGACTTTTATGCTCCAACCTGCTTTCACTATATGTATAAACAAAAATAATGAACCACATTTTACTATATTTAACCCACTGGCTGCAGATGGCATCATATGATGCACCGTGCAATTGACAGTCGATCCCCTTTGAGCAGCGGGCGGCCGCACGGCATGGGAGCTGAGTGGGCCAGGGAATATCAGCCGCCAAGCCGGCATTCCCCTTGCGGCCTTAGAGGCCTAGGCCACACCCCCGGGCCCACATGTGCGATAGGCTGTTTACCGCCAAATGAGTTGTTCGCCTATTGCACGTGCTAAAACCAGGCCCGCCACTCTTTCTGAGCGCCTTTACATATGTTTGCATGTTTGTATGTATTTGCAAGGGTTTTTGCAAATTTTTGCAGATTTTTGCATACTTATTTTTTCTCAGATATAAATAAAAAAAACATTTGCGCAAAGAGGGAAGGCAGCACCACTGCGTGCGCGCACACTCCAGTGCGGTCCCATGCGCCACCCGAGTTGAAAATAAATAAAATTAGGGGACTACGCGCCATATTGCATAATACCACGACCAATGGGTTAACATAACATTCAGGACACATCCTAGAATTTCAACTGTTGATGCTGGGAAGAAAAATATACATGTCATGTCCACTGTGATCTTAATCAAGTATTTTGTCTTACAAATAAAATTCATTATCATGTATTATTAGATAGCTATACAAGATCTTTATCACCAAAGATTTTCATAAGTATTCATATATTCTTATTCTTTATTGTTCTTAATATTGTTAATAACATTACAATAATAACAATGACTAACCATATCAAAAGCAATCCAAAAAGAAGAAGAAAAAAAAAAAAAAAGATAATCACAGAGTGGGGTCACGATAGCTCAATAATTGTATACTTGGTGATTAAGCACTTGTGGAGCCATCTAGGTGTAAGCGAGAATAATGAAACTAAAATCATAGCAATAATGGCATGTATATTTGGCCTCTAAAGAACTAACAGTTTAATGAAATATAAATGATACAAAGGGCAATATTCTAGAGCTTTCCCCAAGCCCCACCAGAAGCAACCCTTCGTCCTAAAACGTATCTTGTCTAGGTTACCTCATATATTTTATCAGTGTTTATAGTTTGTCCCTGTCACAACCTTTGTTGGTACTACTAAAGCAAAAATGGTTGCTAGGAGCTTCCAATGGACAAAGGTTCCAAATGTTGCAAACTAA